AAATAAAACATGTTATTAATTAAAAAATAATTAGAATGTATATATAAATAATTTATAAATAGTTAATAAATGTTGTAGTGGGGACCACTTTTGAAAGTGTAGGTGAATTGCAGGTGTGTAGGTGGTAATTGCAAAAGCTGACGTGGCACAGTTGAAAGTGTTGTAGGTGAATTGCAGGTGTGTAGGTGGTAATTGCAAAAGCTGACGTGGCACAGTTGAAAGTGTTGTATGTGAATTGCATGTGTGTGGAAGATAATTGCAAAAGCTGATGTGGCACAATTAAAAATGTAAATGGATTGCAGGGATGTGGATGGTCTTAGCACACGGTTTAATTGAAGGTATTTCGGATTCTTGCGAACCCAACGCTTCCTTGTATTCAATTTGATTGAACATAATAAAGAAAGATTGGCATAAATTAGGGTAATATTAGTAATAAACAATTCTTCAGGGGCCGGCTTTGCAATTCTTTGCCTCCTTCAACCAAAACCCCAGTGTATTTGGAGTTTCAAATTCTTAATAGTTTCTGAAAGATCTCCCAAATTGCATCAAATCAAACACTGATCGCTACTAGTAGGATACGAATCGAACCAATTCATCATCGAATCGAGTGAAAAAGATGGCAGCAAAGCAAATGGGAGAGATACAGAGGAAATTAACGGTGTTGGAGTACCCAAGAGCCAATGCCCCTTCTCAGTCTCTCCTCTTTGCCGGCATGGAGCGTTACTCCCTTCTCGAATGGCTGTTCTTCAAGTAATTTTCTATTATATCTCTCTACATTTACTGTAGATTCATGTATGGGTTTGAATTCTTCTTGATGAGCGATCAATTGCAGGCTATTAGGTGATAAATCCCCCTTTTCTCAACAAAAATTACATGGGGATGCCATGGATCGGGACGAAGAAACCTCTCGCATACAATGTAATTGTTTTATCGTTTCTGAAGCACTTCGCATTTATGCATATAATGTCTGTAATTGGTGTTTGTTGACTATGTTATCAGCTACTGAATCCTTAAAATCCATTTGGGTCAACCTTTTAGATTATTCTAAGTTCATTGGTTTAGAAGAATAATGTATCAGATGAGGATCCACTTTGAGATGCTTTGCGTTTGGAAGTAAAGTGTTTTAGAACAAATATGTTTGGGGATGCTGCAAAGTTAATGAACAATTGTAGATTTACCATGAGTTGATCATTTCTAACACATTTAACACATGACAAGCAATAAAGTAAGGCTTATCAGATTGTCATATTTAGACATAACTATGATTATTAGCCGAAATGCCCCTCAGGATTAGGACTAGTGTCCTAAATTGTTGACAAACTGTGTAATCACGCTTGTAGGAAATAAGTATATAAATGTCGTTCTAAGGTTCACGCTTAAATCTTTGTTGGAGTCGATATTTAATATGTCAAGACTGAAAGAGAACACGTATTGGTATGGCTTTTGAAGAAGATACAGAAACTAGTTGTAAGCTATTGATTGTTATATGTTGAATGATCACACACACCACAAGCTTGGATTTCAGGATACATCATTATAGATTTCTGAAAGCCAAAACGAATATACATTGGAATTCAGATGTTTTCTCTTCACTTTAAAGTTTTTCACCTTCATAATTTGTATCTTATTTGTTTATATAGATTTGGCCGAGATTGCAAAGTTTCTCGGCATAACGACCACCGTAGATACTGAAGCTATTCAAGTAAGTTTGATTCTGATTAATAGATTTTAGTAGAGCGTTATTTGTTGGATGCTTTTGGTATCCTATTATAACTTGTGATTGCTATTTGTTGAATTAGTAATGGATGTCACATATATGGGGCATTTGTTCATCAATCTAGATTCCTATCATTAAGAATCAACATTTTGAATGCTTTAATAATTAACTATATGGAGAATAAATATGTATGTGTGTTGGCATGACTGTAGGTTTGGTTCCAGAGATTCATAGAAGTCAAATATACTCTTCCTAGTTTCGTGAGTGATGTTCATGTTTTCTAATCTTCTATGTGAAAGACTTGAAATACGGCACCCATGAAACCAGTGCATAACTTGAGTGTAGTTGTCATGCTATTCTCAATTAGTAATGAATAAACAAGAAACTGATGTGATTGTTTGTGCAATAGATATAAAATTGCTAAGTTACACATGGGCGGATCGTAGACATGGAAGATATAATAGGTGAGTTTTGTCTATAGTAGGGTACTTGGGTATTAATTGGTCAACAGTGGTGCACATTTATGTACTTCACTTGCTCGACATGCTTGATTGGTTTATTTGACTTGATCTTGGTGCGATCCTCTTTAAACATTTGTTTGAGTGAACTACTATTGAGAGGTGTTAGATTGAATCCGGAAGTTAATTTCACAAAGATTTCCGATTTTAAATACAGTTTTGTGAGTCGACTTCATTGATCATCATATAAACCGAATGTTATACAAGCCAATAATGCTCTCTTAAGCCTTAGTTTAAATTTTTTGTTTATAGCCTCTGGTGGCCAATTTCATGCCTGTGGTCCAGAGGACCCCTCCCATCCAATGATACCTTCTTTCTCAAACATGGTTTCAGACTTTGCTTGGCTCTGGCCTCGGCCGATGGTCATCCCTTCTCTTCTCAATGGTTGTTCTCAGGCCACAAGAGGACTTTGGCTTGCTAGTGTTTCAATAGCAGCTTTTGCCTAGATTTAACTTGGTCTTAGATGGAATCTTCTGGCATCGACAACTGATTTCATCATCTAGCCCCTTTGTACACTTCACCAAAAGCCGTACCTGGATCCTGCTTTACCACCATGTTAGATTGAGTTTGTTGTGACATCCTGAGACCGTGAAAACCGTTGACTTTGATTCCCTTGCTGCTCACAAGCCTCCCCTTTTCTTTGCCGACTTAAGCGTTTGGTGGGATGGTAGGCAGTTTCTGAGTCTATCATAAGAAGACACATCTTTGGGTTTTGGCTGTACATTCTCCATTAGAGATCAAGATAATGTTTTTTTCTATCAGATGTAGGGGCCGTTTACCAAACGCTTACTCGGGTAAGTGAACACCAAGTCACATTACCTTACCGGATGAATATGGTAAGGATCAAGAATCTTACCTAGTAAAAGTGAGACAAGGACCAAGAGTCTTACCCGGTAAGTGAGGGCGACGACTCTTACCATGGTAAGAGCTTACTAGGTAAATTGTTGCATACGATACCGTTTTGGTGGACTAAAATCTTACCCGATAAGTAAATGACAATGTTAAAACTTCCGGTAAGCGCTTATCAGGTAAGTGTTTGGTAAACGGTCCTGTAGTTTTCATATTCATGTTACATTTGAAGACTCAATGATCATTTGCAACTTCAAGGGGTTCTCAATTCCATGTGCTACTTCAAGTTGCAAGGTCTTTCAGGGTTTTTAATTTCTGTGTCAATTGCTAGTTGTTCAAGGGTTGAATATTTATATTTTAGTAGCTTCATGCCTTCATCTATTGTCTTTGGTTAGGGATGTGTTTTCATTTTGTTAGTAGTTCCATTGCAGTACTTGGGATGACATCTTGAACTCGCAATTGCAACCTCGTTTGGATCAGTTTGAGATCTCACCTTTTTGCCCCAAAAATATGGATAGTATGTTAGATTAAGGTAGTTCAAGTTCTTTTGAAGTTTATTGTATCTAATTATCTTACAAAGAAATGTACCAGAATTTCTTTGACTCTTTATCCTGTACAATATTTTTTCTTCCCAAACATGCCTCATGGGAAACTGTCACAATGATGGCATGTACCTTGCTCAATTTCCACACTTGACACTCCCAAAAGCATGTGACAAGCAAAATGGTAGTGACATATGGTTCAGGACTGGGTACTTTGTGCCTTTGTGGTGTCTTGGCATAACATGACCCCACACTAGGCTTTTAAGTTTTAAATACTTGAATTGGGTTGTTGGATGAATTTTACAAAACAGATCCCTTTTCAATACTTTATTTCTATGCTTGTAATTTAATATCTTGAGTTTAGACATTCACAAACAACACTCCAGCCTGATTTCGTATATTTTTTTGGGTAATCAGAGATATGGATTTGTCTGTTGAACTATGTTTAAAGCTGATCCTTGGTTGCAGGGACGAGGAAGTTATGAAGAACGGACAGAGATGCTTCGTCTGATTGTAGATCTTGTTGAAGCTAGCATTTATGCTGATAATCCTGAGTGGAGGTTGATATAATTATATCGTGGCCTTCTTCTACATGATGTTTTTTTGCTTTATAAGTTATATATAATTATACCCCGTTCGTGATATACCTGTCTTTCCTGGCAGCGTTGATGAACAGGTAGCGAAGGACATACAACTGATAGATTCTATTGCCGAAAAACAAGCTCAAATTTTCTCCGAGGAATGCAAACTGTTCCCTGCTGATGTGCAAATTCAGTCCATATATCCATTGTAAGATTCTTTTGACCCTTCACTGTAATGATCATCGGAATCTACCTTCCACTAAAGCTTTCAAAGTCAAGTAAAAGTAGCTGGAGTTCCCTGTGAGAGGCACATATTGCATTTTGTAACTTACATCTTCTAAGTTATATTAGATCATAGTTTAGAAGACATAGCTTAACACGCTTTAAGTGGACCTTGTAATATTCCTTATAGATGATAATACAGATAGATTCTATTGCTGAAAAACAAGCTCAAAATTTCTCTGAGGAATGCAAACTGTTCCCTGCTGCTGTGCAAATTCAGTCCATATATCCATTGTAAGATTCTTTTGACCCTTAATTGTGATGACCATCGGAACCTACCTTCCACTAAAGCTTTCAAAGTCAAGTAAAAGTAGCTGGAGTTCCCTGTGAGAGGCACGTATTACATTTTGTAACTTACATCTTCTGTAAGTTATATTAGATCATGGTTTAGAAGACATAGCTTAACACGCTTTAAGTGAAACTTGTAATATTCTTTATAGATGATAATACCATATCCAAACCAAACGAGCCCAGTATATCCCACCTGGATGGGCCTCCGGGCCGTGCCCGGGGGAGGGCAGTATGCATATCTGACCTCTACCTAAAGGAGTAGAGCAGCTGTTTCATGGAAATGATAAAAACCATGTATAGCTTAAGTGACTCAGGATATTATATTTTAAATAATATTGTTTGTCAGTCTCCCGTAATTAACCACTTTCTAAGGATCTTTAAAAAATATTTCTCATAGTTTGTTTTCTTTACATAATAGGGCTCTATCTTCTTAAAAAGTAATAATTGCATTCCAAGTGCCCTAGAAGGAGTCTAAATATCTCATTCCTATAGTTGATATTTGTTCCTTGAATTATTCGACTCTGCTAGAATTCATATACCGAGAGAAAAGGATGCCTGAAAAATCTTGTAGAGTTATAGACATACCACAAATGTCCCATGGACATGGTAGTTGAATCGAGCTAGAGTCTAACAAACAGCTCCAAGAAAAGTGTTCAAGTGATGACTCTTGATAAACCGACTCTGTTTGGGCCAGTTTCTTGGCTGATATTATGACTTCGTAACTACTAGATAGACTACAAAAGGTTGGCTATGCTGTGTACCTGCAGAAGCTTAAATTGCAAAAAGATAAGGAACCTACCTTTTGTAATTACAAAACAATAGCACGGAAAGGATGGTGGATTGTATGGTGAATCTTTGTACTTAAAGATATGTTTTGGAGTTTGTAATGCCTTTGCTCTTGATGAGGCTCAATTTTGCATCCTTCTTTGGAATTCCACTTCAGTTGTACTCTATACCTTGTCCTCAACTACAATTTTGTGATTCAAACAGCAGGGTAATTTATGGGTTTTAAGAAGGCATCTTTTTTCTTAAGTAAACAAATATTGAAGATCATCAGGGTTTTATCCTTGATGAATATATTACAAGCTTTTAGTTAATTCTACTTTTGAAATTCACAGCTGGGAAAGGGAGCATATTCATGGTTCCTAGTTGGGAATACTATAAAATTTGAAACAAACAACTGAAGACTCTGGTGTTCTCTATTTTCTGTAGTTTACAAATACACTCCGGAATTGTTTTTCATTCCCTTTATATCTCATCACATTTTGCTTGGATTCGGCTTATGCTAGCACTCTCACTGCTTTGTGTCCACTATTACTTGCATCAAACTTCCAAACACCTTATATGGAACCAAACCATCTTGCCTATCTTAAACCGAGTCATTGTCTTTATTGTCTTTCCTTTGATCATCAACATCAAACACCTTATTTTTCATTTTCGTGAATATCACTATAATACCTTTTAAATATTCATATTTGCAGCTTGGGAATTTACTGTTCATTAGTATCGAGTATGTTTTTACTTTGTAAATACTTCTTTAGTCCCAGTCTCCCAGAACAATTGCAACGATGTCCATTTCATGATGTAACAAATCAGTTGCAATATTCCTCGTTGGCAAATTGTCAAAGCTAAAGTGACCTATATGTCTATGGTCATCATCGCAATATATTAGTTGATATATGTTTTGATCCACAAGGTTCTTCCTATTTTGCATTAAATGAAGGGTATTTAAGGCATTTGACTATAATCAAACACTTGGATCAATCTAATATGCTCTGCCAGACATTGTAATTTTTTCAAGACAAAAGGAGTGGTGAGAAGTGGGAACCATGTGAGGGTAGCCTGATATTTGCTATTTGTGGGGTAGATATAAGCTGATTCCCGCATCTAATTTGCTTAATCCTCTCGGTACTCTTGCTTGCCATCAATTAATCCTTTGGCGAGGAGATGTTTGATTCATAACAGAAATTGTAAGATCTCTTCAAAAATTTGAAAAGAAGTTTCATGGAAGAAGTAGCAAAGTCACAACATGCATGGAAGAAAACAAATAGAAGTCAAGACTCCTCTGTTATTCACTTTTAGATCAATGAGCTCAACCTATTTGTTATTTTCATCTTTTAATCTCGTCTCTTTGTGGTACTTAGCTTATGAACTGTAATCTTTCTATCCACTTCTCTTTTTCAATCATTTTTACGTCATAAGCATGCCTTGCTCTTCAATTTACCAAATATAACAAATTATATTTTTTAAATTAAAATCATTTGCAGGCCTGACATATCCGATCTGGAGAAACAACTTGCTAGTCAGTCTAGTAGACTATTGAGTCTACAAGAGATGGTTGACGATTTAGCATCAAAGGTCATTTCCAGCTTCTTACTTCATAAATATTTGGACTTCATGATGTGTAGATCCTCTTGATGATGCACTTTATCAACATATTCACATTTCTTATGTGCTTCTAAAATCTAGCATTCATATAATCCCGACGAGGATTATGCCGAAGTGGACATGAAGCTGCGGACTCATCTAGAATCTTTCTTAGAAACTGCAAAATCCTTCAATACAATTTACACCAAGGTTGTCGTTTTTCTTTAATTATTTATATAATCTTACTAGCCATTCATTTTCCCCTTAGATTTTTGCTTTGTATTTTTTAATCATGATCAAGCATCTGAAACTGAGCTTCATTTCTACAAAAACTAAGCATGTGAGCACATCTGGTTTGTATATTAAACTTTTACAACATTGTCTATGTTCTCAACAAGATAGATTATTTTTTTACAGGAAATACGTCCGTGGACACATATGATGGAGGTACCACAATTGCATGGCTTTGGACCAGCTGCAAATCGCTTATTAGAGGCATACAAGATGCTCTTAAAGGTATATCTATTTGAAACCCTTTTGCATACTATCGTCATGTCTTCTTGTTTGGGTAACATTGGATGATAAATAGTTCGAGAAGTACCCGTTACAATAAGTCCCACATCTTAACAGAAGTGCCCTATTAGTCAAATATCTAAAGTATCCTTAATGATTATAAACTAAGGGGATCATTCATGTGAAAATACCAAAAAACACTACAGCAGGAGTGAGCAACTTTCGACAAAAAAACACCCTTTTGTTTTGCATAATCCATTTCCATTATTTGTCCAAAAACTATAAATTCCTACAATGTAAAGAATTCTTCAGCATTTTCACACGAATCATTGTTTGTTTGCTATAAAGAAACCAAGTATGGTGGTTTGTAAAGTTAAACCACTCCAATCAAAATAAATACCATCAAAAAGTTTTGAAGATGATGAGGAAAATAGGCAACTTTGGTTGAACTTTTGCTAAGAAAGAAGCATTATCATTTACATGACATCCCCACGATGGAGTTCATCACAACCTTCATGGGACGGATGCAGAATATTTGCTTATACTGAAGCTTTTTCTTTGAAATATATAATATTTATATTTGGCAAAACTCACACACAATCCTCATCTTTGGTGAGGCTTGGACCTCCAACCTCCAAAATGGTTGGGTTAGCATGTACTGCTGGGCCAATGGCCCTTTTGTGTGATCTGTGAAATCGTGATTCAAGAAACTTGAATTTGGTGAGGCTTGGACCTACTTTTGCGTGGGATATACTGGATTTGTTTGGTTTGTTAGTTGTGGTTTGGGGATGATTGCTAACGGTGCATCATCCTTGTGGTTTGTATGGCAGTTCTTAGGGAACTTGAGAAACCTACGCGACTCGCATGCTGCAGTGGCGGTTGGATCATCAGAAACAATCTCTGGTCAGCCATCTTCCGTGTCAAGGATAATATCCGAGTGTGAATCTGCTTTGACTTTCTTAAACCGTGATCTTGGAATCCTTTCGGCCTCTATAGCTCGTGATGAGGCCAAGAAATCGACTCCAAATATTGACCAAAGTAATATGTAGAAGCAACATCAAGACTTAAAAAAAGACATTCATTTTACTCTGCTAACAAAAATGTTAAAAGAGATATAATGTTAAAAGATTCACCTACAGATCCTTGTGTGTTATTGGTCATGATTTTTAGTTGCCATGATTCTTTTTTCCTATGGTATTTTAATAATGTCACTACCATTTTGCTTGTCTATATTGAAATATTCATTTTTTATGCCCGGTTTTCAAAACTTCAATCACGGGTTTATTTACATGCAAGTATATTCATAACATAAGCATTGAAAAATCCGATATGGCGTGAAGCTATGCAAGAGGAGTATAATGCTTTACTCAAAAATCACACATGAGATCTTGTTCCATCTTCTCCATCTCAAAACCTTATTAGATGTAAATGGGTTTTCTGTGCCAAATATAATCCTGATGGCTCTAGCGAGCTTTATAAAGCGCGTCTAGTTGCTAAAGGATTCCACCAAAGATCTGACCTTGATTACACCGAAACCTTTAGCCCCGTGGCTAAGTTGGGCACAATCCAAATGATTCTCTCTCTAGCTATCACACATGGTTGGTCTCTTAGTCAAGTTGACATTAAGAAGGCCTTCCTCCAAGGCTCTGTAATGGAGGATGTTTTTATGGTTCAACCACCTGGTTCCATTAGCCAAACTCATAGAGATCATGTATGTAAACTCCGTCAAGCTCTCTATGGTCTCAAAACAAGCTCCATTAGTTTAGTACAATGTACTCAAATCTTATCTACTCGGTTGTGGTTTCAAAAATTCCATTTCTAATGCCTTACTCTTTACTTTATACCATAAAAATGATCACATATGTTAGACTCTATAATTCTTATTTGTAAAAGTAATGAAAAATGCACAAGTATGGAAGTCCGGAGGACCGATGGAAGAAAAGCTGGAAAAGATTCTAAGTGCTCAAAGGCAAACCAGAGATACGATGAAGTGTCCAGAGGTGCGATGAACAAGCATCTCCATTACCTCTCTGGTTTACAGCATTTAAAAGAATCGTTCAAGTGTTAGTTCAATCAGATACACTCTAGTCAAGCATAAACGTGAAGAATCCTGATTGAACATACTACCTAGAGACGGCTGAAGATTACTCATCGACAACTGGAATTATGTTGCACAAGGTAGTTAGAGATAACTTCATATTTCTAGATAGATATCTTTTCCTTGTTTATCTCACAGATATCTTCTACTAGATTGTTATCTCTTAGACTAGATTGCTAGTATAAATAGCTTTCACATGTCTTGTAATTCAAGTAATCCTTCTCATTACCATTATTACAGTGAAATTTCTTGAAAGCTTTATATTCTCTTGAATATCATTGAAGTTGTTCTTCACTATCTTCATAGATATGATAGATTTAGGTTCATAAACGTAAATCTTCGTGTTATATTAAGAGATCTTGGATCAACAACATATTTCTTCTTGTTTATGTTGATGATATCATCCTAACTGGATCAAATCATACTCTTCTAAACTCCTTTATTTCTCAACTCTCAAATCATTTCTCACTTATGGATCTTGGCACTCTTTCTTATTTTCTTGGAGTGGAAGTCTTACCTCACCCTCATGGTATTTTTCTTAGCCAACATAAAAGTCCTCCTCAGACGCACTCACATGGCAACTGCCAAACCTGTTCCTACCTCATTGCTTCTCATCTTACCTTAACACTGCATAATAGAACCCCCCTTGGCCAACCCAACTGAGTACAAGCTAATTGTGGGAAGTCTTCAATACTTACTCTAAAACAGACTAGATGTTTTTTGGTTTGAACATGTTATCTCAATACACGCACAGATCGACTGAAGAACATTGCGCAACTCTTAAGCGACTCCTACGCTACCTAGTGGGCACATCTACACAAAGTTTACTACTATGTCGCGATTCGCCCACTACTCTCCATGGATGTTTCTTGGGTTGGTGATAGAAGATGACTACATTTCAACAACCGGCTACATTGTTTACATGGGTCGAAATCCTATTTCTTGGAGTTCACATAAGCAACATACTCTTGTTTGTTTGTCGACAGAAGTTGAATACCGAGTTGTTGCTGCAACTACGACAAAGTTATTGTACGTCCACAACATACTTCATGAGTTAGGCCATCTACCCATCACAATACCAATAATATATTGTTATAATATGGGAGCTACATATGTTGCCGCCAATCCTAAGTTTCAGTAAAAAAAATGAAGCACCTAGCTCTTAACTATCATTTTGTTCGTGAGAATGTCCAAAGGTCGAAAGCTGCGTGTTTCATACATTTCCAGCAAGAATCAACTAGCTCTCTTACTAAGCCACTTGCGAGAACACGGTTCAAAGAACTCATGTCCAAGATTGGTCTCACTATTCGATCGTCATCTTGTGGAAGGCATGATGGAGATACTTACAATCAATCTGAATACTCTCATAATCACTTGATTGTAAATATCTTGTAAGATTTAATTTTGTAAGTTACGATTCTCTCAAGTAAGTTATGATTTAGTTTTGTACGTTACGATTTACAATTGTAGGTTATGATTCTCTCAAGATGTATATATATATACCCACCTACAAGTAATAATACAATTAAGTTTTTCCACTCAATCACATTCTTACTTCTATCATGAGAAGGTTTGACGATATCTCAGAAAAGAAATTCATCCAAAGGCTCATATATGGTCTCACATCACGTGTCTCACATAAACTATTGTCGTTTTTTAATTTTTACAATATACAAAATGTGTTAAAATAATATCATAATTAGTCAGAGATATGCACCCGGGGTTCACCCTATGAAGGCCTCATCAGGGTTGTACACCTGTTCAACTGATTTTTGCAGGTTTTATTTTTTGCGGTATGAAGGATGCACAAACTAAGCTTTGAGGGTGCTTTGTTATATTAAAAATACAAAAGTCATCAACCAAAACACCAGTCCTTCAAAACCAACCAGACAACTTAAAAAAAATCCCTGGAAATAGTGGAGTTCGACTAAAAATACATCAAACGATTTTCTAGGTCTCTCATCCACCTTAAAGGTGCACCTTGCAAAAATCCAATGTTTGTTGCTTCTGCCACGGGGGTGTAAACCAGGTCCATCATGGACCGCCTAAAGGTCAATCCATGCTACACGCCTACACGTACTTGTTTCTTAAAAAGTGACTTGCTACACATAATCTAAAACACATAAAGTCCTAAAGTTACCCTCGTTGCTTTTATCATAAATCGAAAACCAAACTTGTTAATTTGTTGATTAAACACATAAAGAGTCATGATTCAGCGGTACTCGAGTTATCAGTAGTATACAAAAGTCAATGGTTCGAATCTCACCAAATATGAGGAATGTGTACGAGTATTTATATTTTATTAAGTATTTTTATTTTAAAAAAATTAAAATTTTCAAAAAGGGCATTTTGGTCATTGACCAATATTTTATTCAAATTATAAAGCTACATTCTGTGAACCAAACAGACAGATCTCAATTCGTTAACAGATTCCATTCCAATGTCTGCCAACCAAACAAGTGGTCAAACCTGACAACATTCCATTCAAATTCTTTCAAAGTCAAATTCATTTAACAGATTCCATTTCATTCAATAACATTCTGGGAACCAAACGTCACCTAAGGGTATTGTGGTCACTATATTCTTGTTTCTCCACATTTTATTTTACAGACATTTAAAAAATAAGTTAATAATATATATAGGGACCTAATCAAATAAGAACTGTTTTGTTTATGTAACAGTGAGGTTCAATTTTAACCACAAATCAAAGTTTAAATTAAGTAATTAATAATTTTGATAATTAAGGACGAGGACTTCTCTTCTTAACTCTTTGGATCCAACATTCCAACTCTATAGACAACATATTGGACAACCTCTCGTCCTTACAGCATTTATAATTCACACCTTCCTTTGCTGGCTGCCGACCCCCTCCTCCATCTACAGTAAAGCCTCAGCTAACCACCATTTTCCTCTCAGTTTCCCTCTCTTAGAAACCGTAGCACATCTTTTTTTTTCCTTCCTCATCACCGTCGACTTCCATTGTCGTCTCCTTCTTTGTCAATAACTCCCCCTTTGCCACCACCTAGCACCACCTTTCCCCTTTGTAGTTATTTCAATAGGTGCTCTAGACTGGTTCGATTCAGAGCTCCATTTAGATTTAGAGCTCGATTTACAGCTTGATACCCAATGAATTTAGAACCGATTAAAAGCTCGATAGCCAATTGATTACGAGCTCAATACAAAATGGATGTTGAACCGATTGAGAGCTCGATTTAGAATTGATTTTGATCTCAATAGCGAATGATTTAAAGCTCAATTTAGAATCGAGTTTGAGCTCGATATGGATTTCGAACCGATTAAGAGCTCGATAGGCAATGATTTGAACCAACTGAGAGATCGATTTAGAGCTCGATACCCAATGGGTCTTGAACCTATTGAAAAAACAAGAATTTGTTTAATTTTTGAAGAATTTTACTTTATTTTTCTACCTCCAAAAATTACAAAAAATTGTTATAGATCCTATTTTGTAAATAAAAACTAGCTCATAAGTTAAATGAAAATGTAAATGTAAATGGTTTTGTAAAAACTAGCTGATAAGTTAAATGAAAATGTAAATGTAAATGGTTTTGTTCAGTTTTGTCTTGTTAAAGATAATCCGGTCGTTTTAACAGTTTTGTGTTGTCCTATCCGGTATTATCAAACAAGTTTTTCAGTCCAGTCCAGTCTCATCTTATCATATCCTATCCTATCCTCTCCAGTCTTACCAAACAAGTTCTTTAGTCCAGTCCGATTCGGTCTCATCTTATCCTATCATATCCATGCGTCAAACACACCCTAAAAGTTGATATAACTTCTCTAAAATCATTAATTACAATCGCAACAAATAAAATGCAAATAGATTTTAATCCAACATATTTGGAAAATAATAAAAAGTCATGATAAATCATACATACATATCTCTCTCTCTCTCTCTCTCTCTCTCTATATATATATATATAATTTATGGACAAAAATAAAATGAATTAAAATCTAATTCCTTTTATCAAAATAATATTATATTGATACTTATTAAAGACAAATATATTACAATCAAATGGTTATTCATTTTCACTTTTTTGGCCATTTTTTAAAACCATTTCCTTAAATGGTCAAAATTTA